GGGGGTTCCTTTATAGGTTATTTTCTTCTCTCTTGCTGCCCTTAATATTTTGTCATTGGCTTTTGACAGTTTTACTATTATATGCCATGAAGGAGGTCTTTTTGCATTCAGGTAAGTAGGAGTTCTATTAGCTTCATGTACTTGCATGTCCAGTTCTTTCCTCAGGTTTTGGAAATTCTCTGCTATTATTTCTTCGAATAAGCATTCTGCTCCTTTCTCCTTCTCTTCTCCTTTTAGGATACCTATAATCCTTATATTACTTTTCCTAACTGAGTCATATATTTCGCAAAGAATTTCTTCATTTAAAAAAAATCTTAGGGGGCTGGCCCCGTGGACGAGTGGTTAAGTTCACTGCTGTGCTGCAGGTGGCCCAGTGTTTCGTCGGTTCGAATCCTGGGTGCGGACATGGCACTACTCGTTGAGCCACGTCGAGGTGGCATCCCACATGCCACAACTAGAAGGACCCATAACTAAGAATATACAGCTATGTACCAGGGGGCTTTGGGGAGAAAAAGGAAAAAAAAAAAATCTTAGTTTGCTCTCCTCCTCCACCTGAATCATTTCTAGGTTTCTATCTCCAAGCTCACTATTTTTCTCCTCCATATGGGGTCTGCTATATTTTTAATGCTTTCTACTTATTTTTCATCTCATTGTGTTCTTCACCTCCAGAATTTTTGTTTGGCTTTTTTTTAGAGTTTCAATCTCTTTGGTAAAGTACTCCTTCTGTCATTAATTTTATTCCTGAGCTCATTCCTGAACTGTCTTTCTGAATTTTCTTGTAACTCACTGAGTTTCTTTATGGCAGCTATTTGTGCGTGCGTGTGTGTGTGTGTGTGTGTGTGTGTAAGATTGGCACTGAGCTAACATCTGTTGCCAATAATCCTCTTTTTCCCCCCTTCCCAATGCCCCAGCACATAGTTGGATATCCTAGTTGCAAGTCATTCTAGCTCTTCTATATGGGATGCTGCCACAGCATGGATTAATGAGCGGTTCATAGGTCTGCACCCAGGATCCAAACCAGTGAACCCTGGGCCACTGAAGCGGAGCAGTGAACTTAACCACTCAGCCATGGGGCCTGCCCCTGTGACAGCAATTTTGAATTCCCTGTCATGTAGATTGTAATCTTCTGTGACTTTAAGTTTGGTTTTTGGAGAGTTGTCTTTCTCTTTGTGTTCTGCGATATTACTGTAGTTCTTTAGGGTGTTTAATGAATGGATCCTTTGCTGGTGCATTCATGGTAGTAACCATCTTTTCTTATTTGGATATGGCTTTGATTGGTTTGGTTTTGGGCTACTTCTGGTTGTATTTGAGAGCCTCCATTTTCCACCCTCCACTGCTTCTGCTGGAGGTGTCCTCAGTACCCTCCTTGTGCCACCTTGTTCCTCTGGGGGTGCTGGTGCCTTGCTGCTTACAAAGTCACTGCAATCTCAGGTGTCACCACCAGGGTCACCAGGCTGCAAGCATTTGTGCTGCTTCCAGGGTTGCCTGGGTCTTCTGTTCCTCCACTGGCTCTCCTCAGGCTTCTATGGGCTCTGAAGCTGTTGCCCCATGCACCACCTATGCTGCTGCTCCCAGCTTGGGAGGGCTGGTTGTGGTCACTGCCAGCAGCCTAGGGTCCCAGGGACTTGTATGCAGCCTTCACTGCTGGTGGAACTGGTGTCAGGGGTGCTGCCACTGGGGGCAGGGTCACCAGTTCTGCTGTGGTTCCTGAAGCCTCTGGTCACAGGTTCCACCTGCCACCACTTCAGATGTATAGATGCATGGATATCTTATGCATCCTGTTGTGCTATATAGGGAATCCTCTGTTGGTCAATGCATATCTGATTGGTTGTAGCTTGAGGGGAGAGACAAAGGGAACAACTCACTCCACCATGATGCTGATGTCACTCCCAAGTCCTGGAAGTTACATGGCATTCCTGAAGCCACCCGCAAAAGTGTGGGTAGAGAGAGAGAGACAGACTTAACTCACTTATGAAAAATATCTGTGATGTTCTTATTGGCAAAGGCAATCCTCATTGTTAAACTAATCAGCTAAATCAAATTACTTCCTAATGAGAAAAGGTTTCTCATTTTTCAATTCAAGTAATCATGTCAATACACGTCCTTGTGATAACCACCTTGCTTCCGAATTTTAAGAAATATAGATAAGACATGGAGTCTTCCCCTCCTGGATGAACTATGATACAAAGATTTTCACCATTTCTCACCGATGCTCTCTTTTTCTTTATTCTCATGGGACTCTTCTTCCCATATGATGTATTTTTTTTGACAACAGAGGATGTAAGAGGTCATTAAATTTAAAAATAATTAGAATTTTCCTTTCCTTTGGCATCCTGAAGATCTTACATTCCAAGCCAAGCATCACAGTAGGACTGGTGTTGGATGAGAGTATGCCTTTCTTTTGTATACTGGGAGAAGAGAGACTGGAGAAGGGAGGTGGGAAAGTAGAGCTGACAGGACTCTTCAATCATAGAAGATTAATTTTAGGAAAGTACATATGGAAGTTGAAGGTCTGGAAAAAAATTAATCTCTTAGATCCATTGTGAAAATTGACTGTGGTGGAGCCATTTAAAAATGGAGTCAAAGCTGCCTTTCCAGAGAAACAGCTTTGCTGTCTTGAACCTTGGACTGGGCCAAAACAGCAATTGTTTTATAAGCAATTGTTAGAGAAGTCAGCAGGAGAATAGATATCTTGATCACACAGACTGAGGATTGTGAGCTTTTTGAAGATAGAATCAATAGTCAATCAATATTTAGCCAAGACTAGCTTTATGCCTCTAACTCCAATTAAAATTACTTATGATACAACCTTCCTTCTTTGCCTTTCAAAGACTGACTTTTACTCCCTAGTGGGACACTACTTGGTTTTCTACCTGAATCTATGCTCCCTGAATTGCAATTCTTTCATCACAAATAAACCCTTTGCCTCTTAAACTGGTTTCTGCTTTTATAGGTTGACACCATTCATGTCTGTGTGCCCCTTCTAAATTCTTTGTGAGTCACCAGGGTACAAATTTCCTTAGTTTGGAGACACCTGTTTCAGAAGATCACCTGCTCCTTGCACACCCCCACAGGTACTATGTAGCTACCACCAAAGGATCAATTTTGCAGGTCTGAGAAGCTGAATCCAATTGGAACTTTGTTATGAGAATTATAGGAAAGAACTGTCTTACTCAGGAGGGCTCCAGACAGTGAGGCATTTGCCTTGAAGTTTATGAAAAAGGCTCCCACTAGGCACCCAGCAGTGCAGCGGGTGTGTGTCTAGGAAAGGCTGGCTGGCCAGCTGGTGAGCAGTCAAGAGGCTTCATGGTGGCCTTCATACTTCCCCATGGTCCAGGGTCAGACCTTCTACCTTGTGGGCTCAAAACCTCAGCTTGTCAGCATGTATATGTAAAGTATAAAAAGTAAAAAAACTTGGTCTTTGTTTCCAGTTCCTAGCACAGAGCTCCTACAACTCTTGGAATTTCCCAAGTGATAGGAAAATCTTTTGTGATTCATGATAATGAGATGACTCATGGAGGGGATTGGAGGGTTAGATAGCTTCAGGATGGTCACCAGAGGAGCCAACCACATGATTAGAGGGTTGGAACTTTCAGCCTCAACCCCTGATCTCTGGGGAGGAGAGGGGGACTGGAGATTGAGTTCAATCACTTGGTCAATGACTTAATTAATCATGCCTACTAAGAAAACCCCATTTAAAAACCCTGGAACAATGAGGTTTGGAGAGCTATCAGGTTGGTGAACACACTGATGTACTGGGAGGGTGGAGCACTCAGAAAGGACATGGAAGCCCTGAGCCCCAACTCACCCTCCTCTAATACCCTGCTCTAAGCATCTCTTCCATTTGACTCTTCCTGAGTTGTGTCTTTTATAATAAAACTGTAATCGTAAGTACAGCACTTTCTTGAGATATGTGTCATTCTAGCAAATTATCAAACCTGAGGAGGTCAAGGGAACCCACAAATTTGTAGCCAAGTCATACAGAGGTTCAGGTGGCTCAGGATCTGGGAGTGATGGCTATCATCTGAAGTGGCGGCAGTCTTACAGGACACAGCCCCTTAACCTGTGGGGTCTGCAATAACTCCAGGTAGTGTGAAAATGGACTTGAATTGTGGGGGACACAGTTGGTGTGTGAGAATTGCTGCCGGAAAGTACCAAACAACTTGAATTGTTTGCCTGAAGATCCTCTCACCTTGAATGGCCCAACCAGCATTTGCTCCAGTGACTCCTCTGGGCTTTCTTGGCTGACCAGCTTCCACTTTTTATGGTTACACATTCCTTCTACACACAGCAATATCTTCAGATGTTCTAGTCTTGCAGGCCCGAGTGCTATTCTCTGCATGTCTCTGCTCTAGCCCCTTCTGTTTTGATGATATAGGGTACCTTTAGCCTGAAGCAGTGATAGCTCACCCTGCTGTTTAGCTCTGGGTCTTGGCATGCCTGGACTCCTTTGGAGTTGTAACTAGAAGTCCCCAAATGCTTCCTGGCTTGTCTTACAAACCTCATGAATATCTCCATATTGCACAGCTGCAACTGTCCAATGTCACCATGACTCAGCACTAACTGGAATTCAAAGAGTAACCTCCTCTCTAGTCCCTGACTGAGCCAGTTCAACTGACTGCAGTATTTCCTCTCATTCTCACCTACAGGGACACTTGCTAAGACTGACTCAGACCCAACTCTACAAGCATAGGAAGCTGATGAGTTAAAGCTAAGTTACATACAACTTCCCCTCCCCACCAAACCATAGAATAAAATTCCTTCTTTGTAAAAAAACAAAAACAAAAACAGTTCCAGTTTGCTGTAAAGTTGCTCATGCTCTGACCCTGAAATTCTACTTCTAAACCTAAGGAAATAATCAGAGACACAAAGAATTATGTAAAAAATTACCAAAAAAAAATGTAAAAAAACCCATAGTATTATTTATCAAGTGAAAAAGTGGAAATAAACTAAATATCTAACAAAGAGGAATGATATGCGATATGCAATAATTTAAAAAATGTTTTCTAAGCAATTTTAATGATATTCAAGGTTTCATAACATAAAACTAAGTGAACAGAGTGGGATGTCAACCATATGTATTGATGATCTAGGTTAGGTTAAAATTATGTATTATGTGCACTGAAAAAAGACAGGAAGAAAATAACAAAACTATCAATAGTAGTTTTCATTTAATGTGAAATTATGAGTAACTTATTTTCTTAATTTTTATGAGTTCATATTACTTTTGTAATCAGAATTGTAATCGTTTTATAAAAGTACTTTTCATACCACAGCACTGCTCATGTCCTTTGAGTGACCCTGAGGAAACAGCCTTTTCTCCTTTGGCCCCATCCATCTTCCCAATTTTGTTTATCATTTTCTCACAAATACTACTTAAAAAAATTTTTTTTATTACTGAAAAAGGCTTCATTTTTAAATTTAGCTTTCTGACTCCGTGTCTGTGCCTTCAGCAATTTCACAATGGTTTTCTGCTCCTCAATAAGGAAAGCACACTACTGACCTGTTTTTTCACTTTAGACAATCTCACAAGAACCTCAGGTCTTGCAGCACGAACTCCTTGAAGAGGGCCTGGCACATGCCACACTGAACTCCTCACCATTCTTTCCACACAACACTACTGTTCAGGAGTCTGTGCCTTTGCATATGTTCCTTCAAGGGCAAATGCTCTTTGCTATCTTCCATACTTACTCACTCTTCCATATTCACTTCAAACACCATTTTCAGTCTCCTGAATGCACAGTTAAGGCTCTGTGCTCTGTAGTTTTTTGTTTTATATCTGTTACATCACTTATCCCACGGTAATGTGACGCATTAACAAGTTTGCCTTCCCTACTAGATTGTAATCCTATCAGGGGTAAGATACATATATTATTTACTTTTGTATCACCAGTACCTAGCACACAGTAGGCTATTCAATGAATGCTAAATAAGTGAATTTTAAATGCGTTTTCACCTCTTGTTCAAAAAAGAATCAAGCAACTGAATAGATAAATGAATGAATGGACTAATGGTAAGGTTGACCACCAAGAACATATCTGTAGTTCTTGGTACCCAAGCTCAGAAAAAGAATGATGTTGGAAGTAAGTGCCTTGAAAGGCTGTTACACAAATCCTGAAAATGGCAGAATTTTATAAACACGACACTGAGTTCAGGGAATCTACCTCTTTTATAGCAAGCAGTAAGCAAGCTGGCTCTTTGTTCTGAAGGGACACTACTTAATTTTTCAAGGTCGCTTCCTGCAACACAACCCTGAGAAATGGCTTGAATAAAGAGTGGTTAGGGCCAGCATTCTTGGCATACCCAGACAGATGTGTAGGAGTACAAAAGACTCATAGAGGAGTTTCCCAACAGATATGCCCTGTGAAACTATCAATGCTCTCACACTCACGCCAATGACCAAAACTTTAAAAAAAAAAAAAGGAACAGATAAAGTTGATCAAATAATTCCAATTAAAGAAGAGGATCTTTTGAAATAAGAAAAATTACTCCCTTAACTCATTCTTCCTTTTCAGTATCTCTTCTGCCTAGTGTTTTTCAACTACAAAATAGGCATCACTTTTTCTTTAGGATCTATAGTCTTCTTCTAAAACAATAAAAGCTGTCTTTCATGGTCCTCTGATTACTTAATTTCCTTTTTTTCTTAGATATTCTCCTGAAAGAAAAAGAACATGGTTATTATTTGTGAGCAGCAAATTATCACCACAATATGATTCATTCATTCATTTATTTATTTCACAAACATTGGTGAGTGACTACCATGTGCTAGGCACTGTGCTAGATACTGGAGACACAAGGATGACTGGATAGTTAAGACCCAATCCCTGCCCTCAAGGAGTTCATTGTCTGGTAGGGGAGATAGATATATAGAAACATCAATTATGCTCCTAGAATCTTTCATTAAAAAATATCAATAGTCATAATTCTTTATTTCCCAAATTTTCTATAATTATCATGTATAATTTTTTTTTAAAAGATTTTATTTTTTTCCTTTTTCTCCCCAAAGCCCCCCAGTACATAGTTGTATATTCTTAGTTGTGGGTCCTTCTAGTTGTGGCATATGGGAAGCCACCTCAGCATGGCCTGATGAGTGGTGCCATGTCTGTGCTCAGGATTCGAACCAGAGAAACCCTTGGCCATCAGAAGCAGAGTGCGCAAACCCAACCACTCAGCCACGGGGCTGGCCCCTATCATGTATAATTTCTTGATAGAGAAAAATATAATTAAAAAAAAAAAACAAGTGAAGGAAAAAGAAGTAATGAGACAGTAACTGGCTCCTGAGTGGGAATCAGCCTCATCCATCCCTCATGAGCATCCAACCACTTCCAAGACAGCCTATCCCTTCCCAGAGCAATGGGATCTTAGTGGCATGATATCAGCTGTCTCCTTCTAACTAGTACACATTCTTTTGAGTCTCTTGTGGCCCTAAGCAAGAATCCTAACGTTTAGTGCCAGCCACAGAATCTATATTACAGTGGTCAGGCAACTTTTCTGATTTTCTCCACAGGGGACCTGGAGAATTAGCCCTGGGCCCCGGGTGATACAATAGAGTCTGGCCTCTTGACAGCCTAATTGCCCACTTTCCTAGCCTTGGTTTCTGTATATCTTTCATTAGATAATTAGTACCCATCTATATGTCTCTGTTCTGCCTTACTTCTCCTGCCCTACCCTACTGAAACTGAACCTACCTCAAATCCTGACACCTGCTCAGAAAAGATCCTTGGTGGTCGTAATTGCCTGTCCCTGCTGGGTTGGAGTTCACCCATTGTGTCAGATGCTTCCAAGGTTGGGTTTCGCTTAGGCTCAGTCCTGTTTGCTTCTACAATACCTCACTGCCAGCTGTGTAGCAGAGTTTATGACAATCCATGCCAGGAAATTATTTATGACAACAGGGAAGGTCTGTGCATATATACATTTGTGTGTGTACACGATGTATATATGTAGTTTCTGTGATGGTACTTAATTTCTCAACTAATTTTTTAAGATTCAGCTCTCTGGAGCCTTCCGTGACTTTGCTAGGCAGAGGTCATTCATTTATTTGTTCATCAAACATGTATTAATTGCCTACTCGACACTAGATGCTGTCTTAGGTACTGGAGATAGGAGAATGATTAAGACACAATTCTTGCCTTCTAGGGGCTCACAATCTAGGTAAACAAAGAACTTTAATGGCAGTAATAATAAAAGCATGCATAAAATACATAGTACAGTGGAGAGAAGCCCAAGATCTGACTTGGGTCTTCAGTGATTATTAGGAATTTGCCAACTGGCTATGAAGGGCAGGAACAGAAAGGGAAGCTGTTTCAGGCAGATAGAACAGCACATACAGAGTCATGGAAGGCAGAGGCTATTTCTTAACCAGCTTTGATTTCCTAGTTAGGAGAGTGCAGTACACACGCAGATCATCACTGAGTACTTGTTAAAAGAATGAAGGAATGGCTGCTTTCTTCACTAGCAGAAGTAGAGGCTTCTACTATTTCAAAGGAGTGTTCAAGCAACTCCAAAATTTGATTTTTTAGAAATTTAAATTTAGATTAAAAAATCTAAACATGAACACAATTTATCATTTATTAAGCTCAACTCTCACAGATATAATTTTCCAGTTAGTTCTATATTACATCTTTATTCAAAAATGTATAGACATGGAAGGGGAATGCAGTACACACCAACAAGCTCGCTGCCTGGCACAGTTTCTTTTTCTATAAAAGGTCCCTTTATATACAGTGGTCCCCATCTGCTACATCTCTGTTTTTTTACCCTGCTGCCTCCTCCACCTCCACAGCTGAGTGATATCTGGATAAGCCACATGGTCAAGACTTGTCAAATGAGGGTCCTACAAGACATTAAGAGGTAGGATGCAAGGCTTGGCCACGATACCAGGAAGGAAAGGAGGCAGTTCGCAATGGGACAGAACAAAGCCAACTCTCTTAGAAGTAGAGAATAGAGAAGCATTCTAGCAGTGTTCCAGTCCCTGGAATCCATTTTCCCTGTGGCTCAGCTGCACGCCATCCTTCCAGTGCTTATGTAAGTAACCCCAATATCCTTCCAATAAATTCCTCCTTTCTGCCCTAGCTGATTTGATTGGGTCACTTGCAGTCAGAAGACTCAACTACCATAGAAGCAAAGACAGGCATTGGGAGACAAACTTACCCAGCTTCTCTGTGGCTTCCACACAAACACTAGGATACATGCCCTCAATGTATGTTGCCACCAGAAGATACACATGAGTCTTCACAACCACCACACCAGTGTTTTCCTGGATAAGAAAAAACAGTGCGCCCTTCTCAGTTCTAATCACAAGACTAGCAATTACACTCCAGCCACATTTTTCACCATTTCCTGACTTCCATATATTCATATATTTGTTTTTGGACTCACTCTTTTCTATTAATCTAGTTGTCCCTCTTCAAAAAGTTTCAGACTGTTGTAATAACAGCACATGTATTTTGAAAAAGTTCCCCAATTCACTGTAATATACCCCTATCGCAATGGGAACAACTAATGTGATGGAAAGGTAATACATTTTGGAATTGGACAGCTCTGAGCTTGCATCCCAGCACCTCCATTTTCTGCTTCATGACTATGGAAGAGTTATTTAACCTTCTTAAGAATCAGTTTCCTCATCTGTAAAATGAGGTTTCTTAGTTTATAATGTGGATCAAGTGTGCTTAACCCATAATACAGGGCATCCAATAAATGTGAATATCATCTCCTTAATTCCTTATAGGCAACAGAGAGCCAAGAGAGGTTTTAAGCACAAGAGTGATACCACTTTTTTTTTTTTTTAAGAAGGAGGATGTAGAGTATGAAGGATGAACTGTAGTGGAGAGAAACAGTTCAGGAGAGGTTCAACTGATAGATCCTGGAATGAATGTTCCTCAAAACCAGGCAGTTAGTGCTTTCTTTTACATATGCCCTCCCGTCACCAGACTGCTGTCTCAAACATTGCCATTGCAGTAATGGGCTCAAGTCTGTTTTATAGATAGGATGGGGGGCGGGCTGCACGGCACAGGCAAAGAAAATTGGAGTCAAATTCTCTTCTTCAGGTTTTTATCAGCTGTCGTCAAATCTTGAACACTCACATTCTTAGCATAAAGAGAATGGTCATCTGCCCGGACACATTTGTAGTCTTTTTCCCTGAAATACAACCCTTCTCTTCTGGCTTGCAAGGGGTTCTTGGCGAATCCATTCACAAGTGTTCGGACATCACAGGGCATTACCTGCAGAGATTAAACAGACTCAGATTTGGCAAACTATGGCGGGCTGGCCAAAGTTGGCCCACTGTCTGTTTTTGTGGGTGTGCAAGATAAGAATGGTTTTTACATTTTTAAGTACTTGGAAACAAATCGAAAGAATATTTTGATATGTAAAAATTACATGAAATTCAAATTTCAGTGTTGATAAATAAAGTTTTATTGGAACACAAACACACCCGTTCTTTTATGTATCGTCTATAGCTGCTTTCCCATTACAACTGCAGAGTAGTTGTGTAGTTGTGACATAGACCATATGGCCTGGAAACCTAAAATATCTACTATGGCTCTTTACAGAAAAAGCTTAAAACTCTTATGCCCAAACTTGTTTTTTCTTACACTAAATCCTGGTGATGCTACAGTCAGGCTCCGCTCCTGGATTTTGATGAGGGCTGCACTGTCCACATGCTTCGTTCCCAGGAGGGTATCTAACAGTAAGTTGTGCAAATGGCTCATGCTCTCTCAGTTATGAAAAAGGGACTGCAGCTGAAACGATCCGCTCTGGCTAGCTTTTAAGAGCCCTGTGAATACAAATCTCCCTAAGACACTTAAGACGGTTTCAATATCAGCTCGCCTACTCTAAACAGATGGCTGAAAATGGTGGCCATCGTCTAGTAGCCTGGGCAGAGCACGAAGGCCGAGACACCCAGCTCTCCGCGCAGGAGCACAGCGCTCCGCCAAGGCCTGGCGTGCTGAGCCGCCGCCCGTCAACGGACGCGGGGGAAGGCGGGGCGGGAGGGCGACGCGCCCAGCTATTGGCCGCGACAGCTGCCCGTCACCGAGAAGCGCTACGGCTCCGTTCGCTAGGCAGGACCTGCCCACCAGCGGGGCTTTACGGCTTCCAGCTTCCTCCTCGGGGTGACTGGGCCGCGGGAGTGCGGCTGCGCGGCGCTCAGGGACGCAGCGTCGGTTGTCAGCCGAACCCGGAATTCTCCGCTGCCTCTGCGCCGCGCGGCCTAGTTGTCGTCTACCGCGGAAGGGCCGCGGGGGCTGCGCCGCGACACTGAGGGGAACGTTCTCGCATTCCGAGGCGACGGCCCGAGCGGACTGGGCCGGGGGTCCACGCGCTCTCACGCTCCCGCCGCAGCTGACGCCTCCGGGGCCGCGGGCCGTCAGGCCGGGCCCCCGCGTGCTGCAAGGGAGCCGAAGGCCTTGCCAGTCTTGGGAGGGGAGCTGAGGTGCCCGTCCGGCCTGCGACCACCCTGCCCAGCCGGGCGGAGCCCGCACGCATCTTGCTGACGGGGTGGGGGGAAGGGACGGGGTCGTCGTCCCGTAGGTCTACAGCGGGCGCAAGACCTAATGACAGCTTCCCCCTCAGAGAGTCTGGGGGGCGGTGCGGGCCTCGCAGAGCTTGGAGAGAAGGCAGTTTTGTCCAAAAGCCCCTCCCTCCCTTCTCTAAGCATCCCAGACTCTGCGCTTCAGTGGCCAGAAAGTTGCAATTCTCCTCATTCAGTCAGAAAACTGCAAGTGCGACTCCCAGAGGCCGGGCTGTTAACTGCCACAGCTGCTCGAGCGGGCGGAGAGTCGGAGGGCGAGGGGAGCCCGGGGTCCGGAGGGCGCTCTGAATGCGTCAGGAGGAGCCCGCCGGGAAGGCCCTCGTGTTAGGGAAGGCGTGGGCGGCGGCTGTTCGGAATCTGTTCACGGCTGTTCATAGTCACAAGTATTGATTTTTAATTAAACGGAGAAAACAAGATGATTATGAATTCTCATTACTAAATAAGCTAATTTTTTAGTTTTTCCAGGGGCTCTGTTATTTGTGACCACAATGAAAAATGCAGACAGTGATGATCTGATTACTAACAAACTTCCCTCGCTCAAGAGCTCGAAAGAATGGTTGGACCCCCAGCCACTTTCTTTTACGCAGGTACAATAGTATGGCATTTGGAGGTTTATACTTGGGTAGTCGCGTTGACAAGTGGCTTGTGCTAAATATATATTATTTCTTCTATGTTTTCTGTTTCATTCTCTTTGTTTTCCCCTTCATTCTGCTACCTTTACGTTTAGTTTGCTCTTTTTCTAGCTTCTTAAGGTGGAATCATAGGTCATTGGTTATATGCTTTTTGTAATATGACAAAGTTATAAAGTTTCTCTTGAAGCACTGCTTTAGCTGCATCACCCAAATTTATATATTTTGTGGGTTTTTTTAGATTCTAATTTCTTTTTTTCTAAAGGACTTTATTAAGGTGTAACTGACGTACAATAAACTGCATATATTTAAAGTGTACAGCTTGATAAATTTTGACATGTATTCATACGTGAAACCATCACCACAATCAAGATAATGAACGTATTCGGTACTCCCAAAGTCTCCTCAGTGTGTCCCTGTGTAATCCCTCCCTGCCTGTCCCCAAGGCAAACACTGATCTGCCTTCTCTTACTGTAGTTTACTTTGCATTTAAAATTTTTTACGCAGATGTAATCTTAACAGCACTTGTTTTTTTTTTGTCTGGCTTCTTTCACTCAGCATAGTTATTTTGCAGTTCATCTGTGTTGTTGCATGTATCAATACTGTATTCTTTTTTTTTTTTTTTGCTGAATGCTGTATACCCCAGTTTGTCCATCCTGTTGATGGACATTTGGGTGGTTTGCAGTTTTTGGCTATTACCAATAAAGCTGTTAGGAACATCCACGTCGGTGTCTTTGTATGGACATATGCTTTCATTTCTCTTGGGTAAATGTCTAGTTGTGGAATGGCTGGGTTATATAGTAAACGAATTTAACTTTTTATGAAACTGCCAAACTGTTTGGCAAAGTGATTGTATTATTTTACATTTCCACTGGCAGTGTACGAGAGTTCCAGTCGTTTCACCTCCTAGCTAACATTTGGTACAGTCTTTTGTATGTGTGTGTAGTCTTTTTAATCTGACATTCTCAAAAACATAGTGGCATCTCATTATAGTTTTACTTTGCATTTCCCTAATGACCAATGATGTTGAGCATCTTGTCATGTCTTACTTGCCGTTTATATACATTCGTTGGTGAAGTGTTTGGTCAAATATTTTACCCATTTTAAAATTGGATTGTTATCTTATTGTTGAGCTTTTATTATTGAAATATAATTTACACACCATAAAAGTCACCACTTTAAAGTGTATGATTCAGTGAATTTTAGTGTATTCACAAGTATCACCATTATCACTACGATCTAATTCCAGAAGATTTTCATCACCCCAAAAGAAACCTCATACCCTTTAGTGGTCACTTTCCATTCCCTTCTCCCCCTGGTCCCGGGCAACCACTAATGTACTTTCTCTCAGATTTGTCTATTCTGGACATTTGTGTAAATGGAATCGTACAGTATGTAGTCCTTTGTGACTGGCTTCTTTCACTTAGCATACTGTTTTCAAGGTTCATCCGTGTTGTAGCATGTATCAGTCCTTTGTTCCTTTTTATGGCTAAATAATATTTCATTATATGGATAATACCATATTTTGTGTATCCATTCACCAGTGGATGGGCATTTGGATCATTTCTGGGTTTTGGCTATTATGAATAATGCTGCTATGAACATTTGTATGCAAGTTTTGTGTGAACGTATGTTTGAGGAATTGCCTGTTTCCCACGGTGGCTGTTTCATTTTACATTCTCATCATCAATGTATGAAGGTTCCAGTTTCTCTCCTGTTTGGATTTCACTGAACCCCTTGTATCTGTGGGCTTATAATTCCCAACAAATGTGGAAAATTTTCAGCCATTATTTCTTCAAATATTTTTTCTGTCCCCCCCACTCCTTTTGGGAAATACAATTACCTGTATAATAGCCTGCTTGAAATTGTCCCATAGCCTGCTGATACTGTTAATTTTTTTCAGATTTTCCCCCCTGCATTTCATTTTGGACAGCTTCTATTGTTATGATTTTAAGTTTACTAATCTTTTCTTCTGTTAACATTGAATCTGCTGATAAGCCTGTCTGGTATATATATTGAAAATCTCAGATGTCAAAATTTTCATCCCTGGAAGTTTTATTTGGGTCTTTTTAATATCTTCCTTGTCTCAAAACTTCCACTGTTTCCTCTAGCTTCTTGAAATTATGAACTACAGGTGTAATAACTATTTTAATGTCCTGGTGTAACAATTTATATCATCTGTGCCATTTCTGGGACAGTTTTAATTGATTTGCTTCTTCATTATTGGTCAAATTTTCCTGCTTCTTTGTATGCCTGGTGATTTTTTCTTGGATGTCAGACATGTGAATTTTACCCTGTTGAGTGCTGGATACTTTTGATTTCTCATAACTATTCTTGAGCGTTGTTCTGGGATGCACCTGGACACAGTCTGATCCTTTTGGGTCTTGCCTCCAATCTTTGTTAGGCAGGACTATAGTGGCATCTAGCATTTGGCTAATTTTGCTCCAGTACTTAGATAAAACCCCTCTAAGTACTCAACTCTATGTTTCTCGAACCATGGGCTTTTTCACTCTGGCTGATGTTGAGAGGAATAACTCCTGGGGCTGTGTGCCCTCCAGGGATTGTTCTCCCTAATCCTTTCAGGTGCTTTGCCAATGTGTCTTTGGGTAGTTCCCCCACATGCATATAGCGATCAGCATTCAGCAGAAGACTCAAGGGGGACTCTACAGATCTAACCCTCTGAAAATCCCCAAAGCTTTCTCTGTGTGATTTTTTCCCCTCTGGTACTCTGCCCTATGCACTGTAGCTGCCCTGGCCTCCCCAGACTGCCAGCTTCCCTCCTCATTTCAGAGAGACAGCTGGGTTTCACCTGATTTCTTCCCCTCTGTGCCACAGTCTGGAAATTCTCTCCAGACACTGAACTATCATAGGGCTCAGCTTATCTGTTTTCTTTTTCTCAGGACCCACTGTTCTTCACTGCCTGATGTCCAATGGTCTTGAAAACTGTTGTTTCATTTCTTTTTTTATTTTTTTTTAAACGTGGGAGGGTAAATCTGTTCCCTGTTACTCTATCTTGTCTGAAAGTGGAAGTTCTCATCCTAGCCAATATTTCTTCCAAAGTTTTTTTCTACTCCATTCTTTTATTTATCACTTCTGCAACTCCAGTTACCCACTTGCTGAAACTTTTGCTATTGTCTCCTAAGTCACTGCAGCTCTATTATTTTCCAGTCTTTTTTCTCTCTGTTTTCAGATTGGATAATTTCTAATGATCTGTATTCAAGTTCACTGACTCTTTTTATGTCATCTCTAATCTGGTATTAAGACCATTGAAGTTTGCTTTTTAAATTTAAGAACTGTATTTTCCACTTGGTTCTTTTTTATATTCTCTCTCTGCTGAGATTTTCTATCCAGTCATTATGAGAATATTTTCCTTTAAGCAGAGCTATAATAGTTGACCTAAAATGTTTGCTAATTCCAACATATGGGCCATCTCAGAGTTTGTCTCTATTGATTGCCTTTCTCTTAAGTATGGGTCACATTTTCCTGTTTCTTTGTGTGTCACGTAATGTTAGACTATATTTTGGCCATTATGAATGATACGTTGTAAAGGTTCTGGATTCTGTTATGTTCCTCTAAAGAATATCAAGCTTTTGTTTTAGTAGGCAGTTAACTTGACTGAACTCAAACTCCAAACTTTGTCTCTCCTGTAGTTGGCAGCAGGTGAAATCACTGTTTAGTCTTTTTTAGCTTTAGCTGGGCTGCGTGGAGTCTGCCTTGTGCATACATAGTTCAAGGGTCTGCTGGAGATTTGGTAAGAGTTTATTTGCAGAATTCGTGGTATCCCTTCTATGGCTTTCTCCTTTCATGTATTTCTTCTCTCATTTTCTAGCTCCTATAGTTGCCCTGAACTTGGTCGTCTAATTCTTGAATCTGTAAAACTGCATGTTTCTGAGTTTGAGCTACCTCCTTTAGTTCTCACTGAGACCTGCTCTCAGACCAAAGCCCATAAAAAACTGAAAGCTTTCCCAGTGCTATTCTCTTTTTTCAAATGTTGACTACCCTCTAGTTTCTCCCTGCTTTTGGTCAGTCTCTAGTGTCTTCAGATTATTGTTTTTCATATTTTTGTCTAGAATATTAATTAAGTACCCTTCTTGGTTTTGAGAACAACAGATTTGCCAGGAAGAGCAACTACATGAGGCAAAAAGAACAAAGAAAATGAATTTGGAGTTAGACACATTTGAAGTTGTTTTATTTTTTATTCTATTTTTTTTGGTGAGGAAGATTGGCCCTGAGCTAACACCTGTCGCCAATCCACCTCTTTTTGCTTGAGGAAGGCTGGCCCTCAGCTAACATCTGTGCCAGTCTTCCTCTATTTTGTATGTGGGTTGCTGTTACAGCATGGCTTTGATGAGTGGTGTAGGTCTGTGCCTGGGATCTGAATCCGTGAACCCTGGGCAGCCAAAGCAGAGTGCGCCAAACTTAACCACTATGCCACCAGGGCGGCCCCTACATTTGAGCTTAAATTCTGGCTCAGTGCAGAATTTTCTAGGCTTCCAGTTGTTGCTTAACTCCCAAGAGCCTTAATTTCCTTGGGTGTTAATGAGGAATGTTAGTGCTTAGATTTTGAGATTTTTGCTTATCTGTTCTGGAAACAAGAGTAGTGGAACTGAAGACAAAGACAACTACTTCCAATGACAGTTAATTTGAGAATATTTTATTTTTGTGTAACTATGAGAGGATTTCAAAGGCCTATCAAAAATGTCTCCCACTCTGGGAATCTTTTAAATTTTAATTTAATCATTTTTTCAGTGTGGTAAAATGTATATAGCATAAAATCTGCTATTTTAAATTATTCTTAAGTGTACAATTCAGTGACATTAATTACATTCACATGTATGCTAGAAATTAACCTCTTCTATTTTCTGGCAGATATTTAATTGTTGAAGATTTGTTATGAATATGGAAAAAATTAATGTTATGAACTATTTCCTGAAGATTGTGTTGTTTAAAATCTGAAAATGTGATTCGTATATAAAAATTTATTATTAATATTTGATAGCTATTATGACTAAATGAATTAAAATACAGGCCTGATTACATCTATTTTAACCCATAAAGGTAAAAGCATTTTATAGGAAGTGAAAAACAATGGGTTCTCCCTACCACGTGACTCTGGGCAAGTCTTATGACCATGCTTGGACTCAAAATATCTGTGATCTGAGTTATTTTTTTGCCCTAGAATGAGCTGTACCCAAAAGCAGAAAGATTCAAATACTCTTAAACAAGTACTTGATAATATGACTTGAGGTTGAAAAATTGGATTTACAGAGAACTTTCCAGGGACATGTCTGTCACATAAAATATTATGAGTCCAGGTAGTCTTAATAATTTAATTTTTTTAAGATTTGATTTGCAAAGTCTCATCCTATTATTTTAGACATTAGCTGAAGAAGATATTGATGCAGCTATTCAATCAATATTATATAGAGAAAACTACATGATTAAGGTAAGAACTGGTTACAGAATGTATCTCAATTAAAAATTAAATTTTGTTTTTCCATTTTAGATGTAATGCATCATTATAAAAATCTTAGAAAATATAGAAAATAGAAAGAATTAAAAACACTTATTAGTCCCTAGGATTAACCTTAAGAGAGCTCTGAGATTGCTTTGACTTCCTCTCTTCCTGTTCTTTGTGGGGATTCTTTCACAGATAACTTAAAAGAGTTTCTCCCTACTCATTTGTTCCTTCATCTTAGCGGGGTTTCTGTGGAGTCATTATGTATTATTAAGAGCTTTAAGAACTGTTATTGGAACACACTGGCCAGTCATTACTCAGGTATACATTGGTAACAACAAGGCTTTAGCTGTAGCAGGATGGGCATAATTATCAGACAAGACTAATGTCCATGTGAAGTACACTAAACACTGGAGTAGGTGACCTGTTTTTGTTTTTAAGAATTTCCTTCAGATTTGTTTCAAAAGGAAAGGTACTGTTCATTGAGTATGGTTGAACTGTACTATGAACTGAAGTTAGAGAGACTCTCAGGATTCTTGTTATTTTATTTTTTTCATTATGAATTTCATGTTGTTGATCCTAGTAGTCACATTATTTCATTTGCTAGATGAAAGGAGAATGAGAAGTTTTGGTGGGAATTATTTGGTTTATAGTCGAAATCAAGCATTTTCTTTGCAGACTACTTGCTATTTGGACCAGGTTGTGCTACACTTCTGCCTCTTTACTCTTGTCTTTTTTTTTTCTGCATAGAATATTTTCTTCTTCATTCTCTGTCATCCCTTCTCTTCCTAGATAACTCATTCTTTAAGGCTCATCCCAAATAGCTCCCATTTTGTAAATCTTTAAAAAAAAATTTAATCATTTTTTCCCATTGTTGTAAAATATATAAAACAAAATTTGCTATTTTTAATGATTTTTTTTTTTGAGGAAGATTAGCCCTGAGCTAACATCTGCTGCCAATCTTCCTCTTTTTGCTGAGGAAGACTGGCCCCGAGCTAACATCCATGTCCATTTTCCTCTACTTTATATGTGGGACGCCTACCACAGCATGGCTTGCCAAGAGGTGCCATGTCCGCACCTGGGATCCAAACCGGTGAACCCTGGGCCGCCGAAGCGGAACCTGTGCACTTAAGCGCTGCGCCACCAGGCCAGCCCCTAAATATATATCTTGCTATATTCTCCTTCTTTCTATTGTTTTGTGGATTTGTTTTGTAGTCTGTCCCTCCAGGGGGAGCAGGCATGTTGTTTAATTTATCTGTATATTCTTTGTTTCCAGTTTAGTGTGTATCACACAGTGGAAGCCAAATAAATGACTGAAGTAATGAATGACTTTGTCGGTCATTGTTAGGAATATAAATGAAATTTAAATTTTAGAACAAGAGAGCTTTAAGGTAATATATTTGTCTTTTCTATCATTGTTTACTAGGAACTAGATAAGTATTTACAACATCATAACTTCTTAAATGCAAGAAGAAAAGAGATATTATATAAAAGATGGGTTGACCATGTGGCAGATCCTCTCCAGAAGAAAATTATAGAAAAAGTTTGTTCACATAAGAAGATTAAGAAAAGGAGACAAGAGGAATTAGATGGTTTTTTAAAACATGTAAATAAAAAGGTACTAAGAGATCATTTGAAACTGTTTTCAGTTGGTTTAAAAACTATAGTTATCTTTGTTTATTTATGATCATCCAAACAGCCTGCCCCTCCCCACTCTATATATGTGTAAGCTGTACTCTGTTATAGCATATACTATTCTTAAATCCAGGGTGTGTGGAGAGGGTGGAGGAGGAGGATTAGGTCGGGATTTAGGTGTGTACATTAGAATAATTTTTCTTTGTTTTTCCCATGTAATTATTCATTTTATATACCTATTAAGAAATTTTGGACTTTAGGTTCAGGATATATATATATATTTTTTTGTTGTTCTGGAACTCTATTTACAAAGCTATAAAATATGTCTGTTCTAGCATTTTAAAGAGATCTAAGATGTTCGATTAGTAAGCGTTTAAAAACAAATTCACAAATCTTTTAGTGTTCTAACATTCTTTATTAAAATCTTGCAAATTTTAAGTAAATTTCTTGTATCACTATAATATTTATTACTTGAATACATTAAATTTAACTTCAAATAAATTTGGTCTTCCCTTCCCTTTTGCCTTTGTCAGTGATGCCATTTCAAAGCACAAGAATGGAACTATGTGCTTGACTCTTGAGTTCTGTTATGTTCAAAATTAATTGTGTACCTCTTGTTCTTATATGTGGTTTTATTTCCTTCCTATAGGGAAATGCATTTATAGAGCATTATGATCCAAAAGAGTATGATCCTTTTTATACAAGAAAAGAGGACCCAAATTTTCTGAAGGTAGGATAGATTTTTATTTAACTTTGGTATTATGTGGTTGGTTTTTTTGAGGAGCCCTAATATATAAGTTGTCCTTTAGTGATTCCCTAAGAATGCAGTAACATCTTAAGAATAGTTTCCCATCTCCATATCTTAGAAAGGAACAAAAAAGCCAAAGTCTAATCTAAATTAAATCTCTGTAAAATTTGCAAATACTGTGTAATAACTGGGTAATAGGTAACATTTAAAAATTTCATAGACTTCTAATTTGTTACAGAAGTAATACATTTTCATGATAAATGAGAAAATGAATTTTAAGTAAAGAATAAAAGAAACACTCACAATTCCATTATCCAGAATGAACTCATTAACATTCTTGTTTCTCCTTCAAAACTTTTTTTCTATATGTAGGTGTATATGCACATTTTTATTTTACAGGAATGGGATTACACTCTACATTAGGTTTTATATTCTGCTTTTTTCCCTCTCAATAGTTTATGATTTGCTTCTTTCTTTGGTCAATAAGTTTAAATACATCATTTTAATCATTGCATGGTATTCTATTATTAATAGCAGTTAACTTGCACTGAGGGCTTAACCCAACGTTAGGACTTCTTCTTTTCATTTTATTTCATCTTCACTGCTACCATGTGAGGTAATTTACAGATGAGGCAGGTGAGGCACAGATAGGTTAAGTTACTTGTTCAACGTCACACAACTGTAAATAGCAGAGCAGAGATGTGTTTCTGATCATATGTAGTATCTTGCTGTAACATCATTATCTTTTACATATTCCCTATTTTGAATATCTAGGTTGTTTTTGACCTATTGCTGTTATAAATGACATTATGATGAACATTCCTGTAACTATTTATTAACTTTTTCCTTAGGGTAAGTTGCTAGAAGTCGAATTGCTAAGTTAAAGGCTATGCATGATTTCGATTCATATAGCCAAATTGTCCTCAAGAATGGTTGTATAAATTTGCGCCCCCACCAGCATCCATTTTTCCACACATTTGCTAATAGTAGATATTATTAAACAAAATAATATCCCTGAGTCATAGACCAACCTTGAGTCATTGACATTTTAAACTGCTGGCATTTGCAGGCAAAGCAGGTCCATTTTTTTTGCCAAATTGGGGTGTGTGTACGTGCTATTTTCCCTATTTTTATAGGTGAGAGTTAAACTGAGAGTTTAGAGTCAGAGCCTTAGATATACTAACTAGTACTATAGCTAGTAAGAGGCAGAATTGGGATTTGAAACCAGATCTTTTTGATACTGAAATTCCATTCTGTTCTTTTACCATGCTGCCTTTCTAAGCTGACAGGTGACCTCTAAGCTAAGTTGAGCACTTGGAAATTATAGCAGCAGTTCTCAAAGTGAGGTGAATAGACCTTTGAGAGCCCCGAACCCCTTTTAGGGGGTCCATTAGGCCAAAGCTTTTCATAATAGTGCCAAATATTATTTTCCTTTTTTATTGTGTCAACATTTGCTTTGATGGTGCAAAAGCAATGGTAGGTAAAACTGCCGGTGCCATAGAACAACTTAAGTCAGTGTCACCAAATTGTAATGATGGTCATATTTTCATTGGCATGCACTCATAGTAAAAAAAAAAATTCCAGTTTCACTTCAGAATGTCCTTGATCAAACAGTAAAAATTATTAATTTTATTAAATCTTGCTTTTTGAGTATACATCTTTTTAATATTCTGTATGATGAAATGGGTAGTATGGAAAGAACACTTCTGCATACTGAAATACAGTACAATTGTTTGAATTGGTTGATTTTTTTTCATGGAACACTATTTTTAATGGAAAGAATGACTGACAAACTATGGTTAAGTCTTGGGTATTTGGCAGACATTTTCTGGAAAATTAATGAAGTGAGTCTGTTACTTCAAGAAAAACAACTGATAATATTTGTTACCAATGATAAAAATGTGAGCTTTTAAGCAAAGAATTCTAATTTTGGAAAAATCATATTCACCATCATGAATGTGACAGTATCCTAATACACAAAGACTTTACTGATGAGATTAGTAATGATATTAATGAATGTGATTGTTGTATAATAAAATGTATTAACATTTGGAAGATCTCACGTAACTCAGTGATCCAATTTTTTCCAAACAACCAATTCATGACATGGATAAGAGATCCATTCAAAGTTCAGGATAGACCAATGGATTTTAACATAGCAGAGTTTGAATTATTTATTTATTTATTTTTTAAATTTTTATTGAGTTAGTGATAGGTTACAATCTTGCGTAATTTCAGTTGTACATTATTGTCAGTCATGTTGTAGGTGCACCCCTTCACCCTTTATGCCCACCCCCCACCCCATCTTTCCCCTGGTAGCCACTAATCTGTTCTCTTTGTCTACATTTTTAAATTCCTCATATGAGTGGAGTCATACAGAGATTGTCGTTCTCTGTCTGGCTTATTTCACTTAACATAATTCCCTCAAGGTCCATCCATGTTGCAAATGGGACGATTTTGTTCTTTTTTATGGCTGAGTAGTATTCCATTGTATATATATACCACATCTTCTTTATCCAGTCATCTGTTGATGGGCACTTAGGTTGCTTCCACGTCTTGGCTATTGTAAATAATGCTGCAATAAACATTGGGGTGCATAGGACTTTTGGAATTGCTGACTTCAAGCTCTTTGGATAGATACCCAGTAGTGGGATAGCTGGGTCGTATGGTAGTTCTATTTTTAATTTTTTGAGGAATCTCCATACTGTTTTCCATAGTGGCTGCACCAGTTTGCATTCCCACCAGCAGCGTATGAGGGTTCCTTTTTCTCCACAACCTCTCCAACATTTGTTACTATTACTTTTAGATATTTTTGTCATTCTAATGGGTGTAAGGTGATATCTTAGTGTAGTTTTGATTTGCATTTCCCTGATGATCAGCAATGATGAACATCTTTTCATGTGCCTATTGGCCATCCATATATCTTCTTTGGAGAAATATCTGTTTGTGTCTCCACCCCATTTTTTGATCGGGTTGTTTGATTTTTTGTTGTTGAGTTGTGTGAGTTCTTTATATATTATGGATATTAGGCCTTTGTCAGATGTATGACTTGCAAATATTTTTTCCCAGTTAGTGGCTTGTTTTTTTGTTTCAGTCCTGTTTTCATTTGCCTGGAAGAAGCTTTTTAGTCTGATGAAATCCCATTTCTTTATTCTTTCTATTGTTTCCCTTCTCTGAGAAGACATGGTGTCCGAAAAGATCCTTTGAATACTGATGTCAAAGAGTGTACTGCCTCCATTTTCTTCTAGAAGCCTTATGGTTTCAGGTCTCACCTTTAGGTCTTTGATCCAGTTTGAGTTTATTTTGATGAATGGTGAGAAAGAATGGTCAATTTTCATTCTTTTACATGTGGCTTTCCAGTTTTCCCAGCACCATTTGTTGAAAAGACTTTCTTTTCTCCATTATATGCCCTCAGCTCCTTTGTCGAAGATAAGCTGTCCATAGATGTGTGGTTTTATTTCTGGGCTTTCAATTCTGTTCCATTGATCTGTGCACCTGTTTTTGTACCAGTACCATGCTGTTTTGATTACTGTAGCTTTGTAGTATGTTTTGAAGTCAGGGATTGTGATGCCTCTCATTTTGTTCTTTTTTTCTCAGGATTGCTTTAGCAATTCAGGGTCTTTTGTTGCCCCATATGAATTTTAGGATTCTTTGTTCTAATTCTGTAAAGAATGTCATTGGGAATCTGATTGAGATAGCATTGTATCTGTAGATTGCTTTAGGTACAATGGACATTTTAACTATGTTTATTCTTCTAATCCATGTACATGGAATGTCTTTCCATCTCTTTATGTCATCATCCATTTCTTTCAGAAAGGCCTTGTGATTTTGATTGTATAGGTCTTTCACTTCCTTAGTTAAATTCACCCTGTGATATTTTATTCTTTTTGTAGCGATTGTGAATGGCATTGTGTTCTTGAGTTATTTTTCTGTTAGTTCGTTATTAGAATATAGAAATGCTACTGATTTATGCAAATTGATTTTATACCCTGCAACTTTGCTGTAGTTGTTGATTACTTCTAAAAGTTTTCCAATGGATTCTTTGGGGTTTTCTATATATAAGATCATGTCGTCTGCAAACAGCGAGAGTTTCACTTCTTCCTTCCCTATTTGGATTCCTTTTATTCCTTTTTCTTGCCTGATTGCTCTGGCCAGGACCTCCAGTACTATGTTAAATAAGAGTGGTGATAGAGGGCATCCTTGTCTCGTTCCTGTTCTCAGGGGGATGGCACTCAGTTTTTGCCCATTGAATATGATGTTGGCTGTGGGTTTGTCATATATGGCCTTTATTGTGTTGAGGTAGTTCCCTTCTGTGTCCATTTTGTTAGAGTTTTTATCATAAATGGCTGTTGGATCTTGTCAAATGCTTTCTCTGCATCTATTGAGATGATCATGTGGTTTTTATTCCTCAGTTTGTTGATGTGGTGTATCACATTGATTGATTTGCGGATGTTGAACCATCCCTGTATCCCTGGTATGAATCCCACTTGATCATGATGTATGATCCTTTTGATGAATTGCGAATTCTGGTTGCCAAAATTTTGTTTAGAATTTTTGCATCTATGTTCATCAGTGATATTGGCCTGTAGTTCTCTTTTTTCGTGCTGTCCTTGTCAGGCTTAGGTATCAGCGTGATGTTGGCCTCGTAGAATGTATTAGGAAGTGTTCCATCCTCCCTAATTTTTTGGAATAGCTTGAAAAGGAGAGGTATTAAATCCTCTCTGAAAGTTTGGTAGAATTCCCCAGGAAAGCCATCTGGTCCTGGGGTTTTATTCTTTGTGATGTTTTTGATTGCTATTTCAATCTCTTTCCTTGTGATTGGGCTTATCAAATTGTCTGCTCCTTCTTGAGTGAGCTTTGGGAGATTGTAGGAGTCCAAGAATGTATCCATTTCCTCTAGGTTATCCATTATGTTGGCATATAGTTTTTCGTAGTATTCTCTTATATTCCGTTGTACTTCTGCAGAGTCTATTATTATTTCT